ACAAATTAATGGCTTTTCAATCCCACCTGTTTGAATTCGTAGTAAAAGATGTTCGCTAATCTGCTATAATTAATTGATTGTCATTTTAACCATTTCTCCATGTGATCCACGTTTTCATTACCTGCCTGTTTAACCTCTATGTTTCGGTATATTTTGGGAAGGCACGAAAAGCCAATGTGGCTTTGAGAGATCATTTGTGGTAAAGAGTTTCGAATTTCTAATAACATTGTTTGTGCTTTAAATATTCGCCTACTAAATTACAGCATAAGGGAGCGACGTGAAGATACGTTTTGATGGCAGGAATAAGAAGCATGGGATCCGGAAAGCCGTTAGGAAACCGATTCATATCCTCATCCCACCTTTGACAGCTCGAATTTGAAGTTTTGTGAATTTATCATTGGCCTAAGGTTGGAATTATTGAAGCCTTGCAGGAGCGAGCAGACATTTGAGTTCGTCAACGCTATTTGTGCACTTCAAAAATCCTCCGCTTTCGTATTGCTCAAATTCGAACGAATAGTGATTGCTATATAGCTGACACCTGTTGAAATGTTTGTCCTAGGACAGGATTATTTAGTAAAAGACGATAGCGCATTTATTCTTGACGTGTACCTGTTTGGCACTTTTTACTCTTTGCTCTCGTTCTATTTCTCATCCTTATATGCTTACTGCATTTAACTCTGCAATAGTAATTTTGAAATTGGTGGAATCTAACGTCACGTCGTTTGCTGATTATCTTCATCTACAACCTAAGATTTAAGTGATTTTGAGAACTGACTTTGTCTTGCCTTATTGTTTGTTAAGTTAGTCATTCGTTTTAAGAGTTATCATTTCTGTTACTTGAAGGCCTGACAGTCAATCAGAGAGTTGGTAGTTTGATTTGCATTGGACTCCTTTATTGTTTCATCACCTCGAATCTCCCCTAAGGGCATGAATAACAACGGTTTTTGTTGGCACCATGATACGTGCGGCCAAAATTTATTCGACTTAAGCATTCCGCTGTTCATCTTGACTATCTTAAAACCCCACTGTAGCTGTAGTATACGGCTATTCTTAGAATCATGCATGTTATCACCATATCAGAAGGGAAACAAATACCTGATCAATTGCTCTTCTCTCTCGTCATTCGGACGCTGCGGTTCTGTGACTTGTCCAATCCGTTGACACTCCTTCCCTTTAACGAACGTCTAGTCAGTGAATTCGGTACTCAGTCCTAACTTGATACTCCACCCTTAAATCGCAGAGAAAATACAAAAATGATGGGTCTACATGTTTTGACAAAACTGTGAAATTTTATGCAGTCAATAAACGTATGCTTTAGTGATTGCTTTTTGCACACTGTCCTTCTTTGACGTCCTATTCATAATCAACAAACATCTGTAATGTTGGTGTCCAATATGGCTTTTTTAGGCTAACTAAATGCTCACTCCAGATCAGGAAACAGGGTTTGTTTAGGTAATGCGGGAGATCAGTGCTCTTATTATTGCAGGACAATTTCTCGGGAGCCCTGTCTAACTGGTTTAAAGCTGCTCTTCTGGATCCCGCCTGGCCGGCACCACGTACCAACGCAATTCGCTGTCTCAACGCTCTTGAAAAGATACACACAACCGTTCACGCCTTAGAAAGCAAGACTGCAACGAAGGCAACTCGAAAACGTGTCGCCTCCTTAATTTCACTCCTGTCGTCCTCTACTAATTCCATGAATCGGCTCCTGGGTCCCTTCCAAAGCTATCGCTATCAGACCTTTGCAGATTTGGCTAAGGGTTCCAACCCGGGTGTGGTGTGCTGTGGTGGCGTTGTGACTTCTCTACCAGCCGATAGTGAACTCACATTGAATTTGCTTCTGGTGGATGCGATGGGTGCCTTCCTGGCTATGCGCATATTCCAGATTGGAAAGGTGAAAACTCACTGTCTACCATGGTGTTATGCAAATTTTTAGCCTTTATTATTGGTTTGAAACGCTGGGGCATTGGTTCGTTGTAGGTTGATTGGTGCTTAAGTCAGGGTTTAGCACCTGAGTTTAAGAAACATTCAGAAATTTCAGACTTTAGGACGACAATGTATGAGTACTACTAACTTCATTAAGTAACTAGGTGTTCAATGAATTGTCATTATTGATACATACTTGTTGTAAACTTGAAGCCATGCGGCTTTTTTCTTCTCTTTATCGCCTACCTGTTGTTATAGTGAGCTGAACAGCCGTCATAGTGGAAAGTGTAAAGGCTGTTCCACCACTAGGCCATCTGATCACTCTTCCACTCAATTAACTAGTCATCATTTCCAACAATGAGCCTGTCGCAACTTCATCGTGCTTACTGTTGGAAGATTCACTTGTACCTCATTATGAGTGATTGGGCATTCCTTCTAGAAGTCTCGTTAGGTGAGAGTTTCTCGATTTCTCAAGGGTTTAGGTCCCTCCACAAAAGATGTGGTCGCGATTCCCAACCCCATTCTCGAACACTGCATGATCTCAGCGGACCTTATTCGCCTTATTCGTGCCTTCGATGCCTGTGTTCGTGCTGAAGGCGCTGAATCGGCCGAGGAGGAGGATAGTGAATTAGGGCAAGGCGACACCAAAGTCTTGGATCTTGATCATTTGGAATCTCTGCATTTCCTCGTCCTACGGGTCTCTTCGCCTCATATGCTCTGTGTTAATGGCAGTCGTGTTGGACGTGCATGGACTGCGGCAGCTGTCCCTAAAAATGTCTTTTTTTCCTCTACATAGTCTTTAATGTTTGTTTTTAATTATTTTTTTGTGATTGCTTGTTGTTTCAATGACCTCTGCACGTTTCTCTGTTTTGTTTTTGATTAGTTATTTTGGCGGCTTATGGGTACAAGTTGCTCGAATCAACCTGTCACATCTTTGACCATACGAGGAAAGCAAAAAAACAGAAGGTGCATCTGATTTTGACTGCAGTCTTCTTAATGCATCTATCAAGGCTTTGAAGTGGGCTACTTTTCTTTCCAGGGGTGGCATGGTCGGCGTGGCCGCTTCTCTATATGGTTCTTTCCCTCGCCTAACTTTGTCCTGGATAAGTTAATTTTGCCCAAATCGTATTCAAGCAAATTCGCCGATATTGCAAACATTGGCTGGCAGTAGCATCTGATCCTGATGGATGTTAGCTACTTTGGTGGTTATGTTGGGATTCCGTGAATCGAAAAGTAATCCGTCAAAATGTCTAGAACTGCTTTGAGGTGGTCATTTCACGCCAATCGTTCAAACCGAGTTGTTAATCATGCTTCGAGTCCAGAGGCACGAGCGTTGGATCTTCCCCATGGTTACTTCTCGCAATGTCCTATCTGTCCACCTTGAGTCTTCACTTGCTTAAGTAGGGAGTATCTTCAATGTTTATGTACTGGTTAATGCATTTAAGAGCTCACAAACGCCTATGAGGTAGTTGACATTTTGTTTTTAGTTGCTGAAGCCAAGAACAATACTTTGACAAGCCTTAACTGAGCCATGACGGTGCTCAATAAGATTACGGTTACCTTTGGTCCTACCAAGGGAGTGACAGAGAAAGTTAGGGATTCTGGATGCTTTTTTCCTCAATTCAGCAAAATGTGATAAAAAAGGCATTAATTTTGGAACAATCAGGTTGATTGACAAAGTCAGAGGAGGTAAAACCTTTATTTGGCAGATTTGAAAGCGTTTGGTTGTGGCAACAAAATAATTCCATCCTGATGTAAAACATATCGGGCTTTTGTAGTTGAATACTAAAATCTAGCAGAGTTACGAAGGCGGATATTCTGCGGGCAACAGAAGTTCAAGAATAGACTTTGAATATTTTGTCCATCTCTATTGTTCTCCCCAGTTATCTATGGCGCTAAAATTCTTTCTGCTACTGAAGTGATACAAGTTTGGAACTGCCTAAGAAGTGACCTTATTTACTAACTTCTTAAAGACGTATATGCGTCATCTAGCTTGATGGAACTTGCATTATTGTGCGGATGAAACTGAAAAGGCCACTTCGGTGCAACAGTTTGTACTTTCAAAATCCGTTTAAACCCCTTTGCCTAGCAAATGACTTTGTACTCTAATTTACTCACAAGACGCACCACCTTGGCTTGCTCAAACACTCTTGTGGTTAAGATGCGAGGTAAAGGCAACAACTACTTTCAGTCCTTTCAAATGAGGAACTTATTCCCTAAAGCAGTGACGTTTCATGTCACCTTTGTTCTTCCTTTCAGCACTTAAAAACTGATTGCTTTAAAGGAGAAAGAGGTGGCCAAGCATGGTTCTAGTAGTCTCCTTTCTATACAGTCTTCGTGCCTTGCTCTTTTGACACTTTTGACACTTTCTTAACATCTTCCAGCCGCCTGTGGTAGGGCGTTCATCTACAACTCTTTGCCGCGGCGAGTTTGGTCATCAATGAACACCTCACAGGGACTACAATTAGCCTTTCCTCTCTACGCCGTCCAAGCCTGAAACTGTCAAAAACAATGAAATGAATATTTGCAGTCGCATGCAAAATTAACTGAGCGTTGTGACATGTGTGAACAAGAACGACGCGGGGCAGACAGTAGCTGGTTCACTTAGCCCAATCGTCCTGAACATGCTCACTAATAAGCCTCTCGATGTCAAGGAAGGTGTGTGGTTCTTTGAATGAAGACACCTCAAAATGTAAACAAGCAATCGCTATGCCTAATGGCTTGCCTCACTTCTACAAAATGGAATGCTCACATTTTAAAATCCGACTTGAAGTAATTCCTGGTAGCGTTCATAGGGCGGTCATAATGCGGGAGATTGCTGAAAGCGAGTGCTTATGTGTGCTGGCTTAAAGGAAGCCAGAGGTTGGTGAAAGCATCGGAGGTGTCGATGGCGCACTAGACAAAGTAGTGCTATGGAGCGCTGTGTCAAATCAGGAGGGGGAGAGCGATGAAAAGATGGAGGGGAAGGATTCGACTGCCTCCGCTCAACTCTTGCATTTGTCGTTCCGTCTTTCCAAATTCGGTCAATGCTGCGTCGTCTAGGGATGCAGTGAGCAAAGAAAGAGTCATAACTATCCTGTCATATGCGTAGCCACAGAGATGGTCCAAAAAACTTACCAGGAAGGTACGAATTTAACCACCTATTCAGTTAAGCTAATAAGTGATGATGAACTGGGTATTATGGGTGTCTTGCATTGCATTTCATTTTCAGTGCAGCATTTTTAACGAACGTGAGAGCTGGATGCCAGAATAAGGTGGGAAGCGACATGAGAAGCAAGCAAGGACTAAGCAAACCTTTTTATGACTTGAGGAGATGTTCTTAAACCTGAGCCCCATGCGGAGCTGGGGCTCAGATCAAAGCCGTAAGTAGTTGCAACCGTTTAGTAAGACGGGCATGAAGCCATCCTGCAGACGGGACACAATACAGGTCATGATGTGGTGATCTCAGTCGACACACTATGGCTTTTCACGTGTCCCTTTTGCATTTGTCTAATGCAACCAGTTATGGATGAGATTGTCTGATAGGCAGTTGTCCACCTTATTTTGAAGAAAGGTCCAGATTGATGAAAGTGACACAAGTTAAAAGTAGCTTGGTTGAGGTCAAATTGCCTATCGGCGTTCCACGGTCAACTACGAATTTGTTGTGCTGAAGTGCTGCAGTTGCGTTTAAGGGAATAAGGTTAATCTGAAGCGTAAAACAGAAGTCCGCTGAAATCCACCATCTCCACTCCTACATTGTTTTTCGGTTGGGAGAAGAAGTCAACGTGGTTGTCCGCTTCGCTTTTGGTGCACCGGAGGGAGAAGTGCGGACAAATGCCCGCGATATCACTTTTGGTTGTGAGAAAAACATTTTCGCCCACCATAAGTAATCTGAGTAGGCGTAAAAACATGCAAGCATTGCAACTGCACTTCTGCATAAATAGCAATTCCCAGAAAGAAGGGGACATGGCAGGCCCACTCTGAGGTTGACGTGTTGCAACTTTGCTGGTCTCGCTAGCAGTAGGCGCCAAGTTCAAACTAGTAGCATCACCAGCTTATGTAGCAGCATTTTGTGTCTCACTACACGACTTGGTCCATTTAGATTTGCTAATGGTCTGAGGCAAATAAAATGAGGCAAAAGAAGTTGGCGTGACAGCTGTGAGATGGAGGTCGGATTAGATGCAAATGAAGGATGCGTTGGCGTCATAAAAGAAGCCCGTCTAGTCCAGCTCTTACATGAGGTGGTGTTAATGCGACCTCACTTTGCAAGGGCAGTGGTCACTATCCAACATTTTCCTTCCTTTTGACAGAGCCAGCATTCACATTTCACTTCTGCAGAGTGGATCAACGCAAGGTTGTGAACGCTTTCGTTACACAACTGTCATAGATGGCTGATGCTGTGTGGTGCCCAAAAAGTGGTAAAAATTTTTTTTTTTTTTGGCTTTGCGAAACATGGAGATTGGATCAACTAGGCGGTAGATTCTAACAACACATCCCACCATTTTGAATGTGTTCCACCGCGCATAGAGGAAAAACACTTGAGAAAATGCGATATGGCGCGATGTCAAGGTGCAGTGTCATACAATGACAGCAGAAATGACACATAGTAGAGTAAACCCGAAGTGCAGTGTTCCAGAGGAGCTGTTCCTAATACCTCCCGTAATTTTTCCTTTTAGCAATGCGCCTCATGATGTCTGAGACGTGTTTTGCAATGCAACTAAGTCGTAGAAGATGTGCTAGTTAATTTGAGGTCTCCCAACTTGGGCTTCAATACAACTTTTGACGATCATAAAGTGTAACAGATGAAAAAAAAATTCAGGTGGAGACAAAACATCGTGCTTCATCATGCTTGAATGGATCGCTCTCTTGTGGATTAGGAGCATGACCTCTCGTGGACTGTTGGACCGGTAATGTATTCCTATAAATGCACAGTATTTTGTGACTGAAACTCACTTCAGCATCGTGGATGGATCTTCACTTCTGTCTCATTTTGTTGATGACCTCAACGCTAACTGAGGGGTACAGAGGAGCAAGTGGTAAGAATTTTTCTAATTTATTGCCTTAACGTTCACTTGTAAGTATTTGCTGTGGCTGCTGATGTTCTGATACCTTTGGTTAGACTGCACACATCTTCTCTGAACATCTTAGTCTAGCAGCATTAGCCGCAATGACTTGTCTGGTTAGCGCATTAAGGATAGAAAGAAGCTCTTCGCTGTATAGACAATAGAAATTTAAGTTCTGTTACTGGCAAATCACAAGGCAGTGTAAGAATCGTGCAAATCAAACCACCACAACTGATTACAATCCCCGACTCCATACTTGTCTACTCCGCTTTTATGCCAATCGAGGTTGGTGACAGTTCGGTAAGGCCTACGCACTGACATGGGTCCGCTTAAGCAACAACTTTTCCATGTAAATGTAAAGAAATGCACTCTCGGCATCTTCCAACTACTCCTCGCTTGCCTCACCTGAGGTTACCGCTCGACCTTTGTGTCTTTTAGTCCCATTGTTCGCACTGAGATGCTCCGCCCTCCCATAAGAGTAAAGGGAGAGGTGAAGGAGGATGAAGGTTCACTTTCCAGTTGTACGCAATAGGCTCGACGTAATTGAGTAGTACGAGTTTAAAAGTCATGTTTCGGATCTCACAAGCGTCTATGTTAACTACTTATCCATCAACTGACGTCGTTGACTTCACTTATACGCGAGCTTACCCCTTCATTTCAAAAATGGGACCTCAAACCTTTGGATTTGCCAATGACCGCCCTGATGCTGATGGAGAAAGGTGACATTGGGGACGTAATTCTAAGCATCGCGACTTCCGAACTCGCATCCCCCCAGCAAAGCGTGGAATACCGCAGGTACTGTCCTTTTAAGGGGATGCGAACACAGTGACTTCGTCAATGTTTTTTCCAACTCAACTCTACATATTTGGAAAGAAGAAGGCTGCAATTAGCAATTTTTTAGGGTTTACAGTGGGAGGTAGATGCTGGAAGTAATTATGTTAAAAGTCTCTCTCCTCTTTGAGCTCGGCTAAAAGTTTCTTAAACACCTGCGTCACATGATTTTTTTCCTCCTTTTCTTAAAGGTAAAGAGGTGAGGAGTTCACCGCTTCCACCGCACTATAATTGGAGCTACGTGAGTTCTGAGACAATTCAGCTAAGCTGGGATGTTCATCGCTTAGCTCATCTAAAACTCGAACAGCTTAAGTTAATTGTGTTGCCGGAGAGGGCAGAAGGGAAGTATGAAACTTTTGATTTCCAGCTTGGAAAAGCCGAAATTAATGATTTGGTCCCCGGGACAGTCTACAGCGTGTTTTTTGAACCACTGAGAAAAGGCAAGGCGTCTTTCCTATTCTCTGGAGCACTCGAAACGCTGCCTGCAGGTAAACTACTCTAATGCCACAGTATACAGACACACATTAGTCCGGCCCATTTACATCAGCTAAACACCATACTTTCCTGCATGATGTAGAGTCTGCAACAGAGAAAATCGTTCCAGTACCTCAACTTTATTGGCATCGTAGGAGTCACAACAGCTTTCAGCTAGTTTGGAAAGCCGAAGAACTAATTAACCATGGCGTGGATCAGATTAAAGTAGCAGCTCAACCGACCACCAGCCGTGACTCACCAAAGCTTAGCACCGCGGCCACAGCAGATGGAGCACTCATTCTTGACGAACTGGTACCGAGTCAACAGTACGAAGTGATGATGGAAGTGATTAAAGAAAACATCCCCATTTTCTATCAACTGGTCTATCTTGAAACACGGTCAACCGGTACGTTTAACCTGACACAAGCCCATTGCATTGTATTTTCTGTGGTTAGATTATGATTAATAGAAGGAGGTAATGAAAAATGTCACCTATCCTCAGTGTCAAACTGCATCTCTTAAACTGAAACTCTTCACATCGATAACCAGCGAATAATTTAAAGCTAATTAGGACTGGTAATTTTTAAGCTCCTTCGCATGTACAACATCCCTAGGGAAAAGGCATATCCACAACCCAAATTAAGCTCAAGTGGCATGCACCGACTACCCCGAACGGGATCCTCAACCTCTACGTTTTCACCTGTTTTAACGCTGTGTCAGGCGGTGCTTCAATTAGAGTTGCACCCCAAGACAACAAGACACCCTCCACTGTAGTCAACAATCTAAAACCAAGCACAGGAGGTCAGTACGATTCCTGTTGATGGACAAAATCCGGCAGAATGTGCAAAAGCCTCGGATTTGTCACCTCCTATTTGGACACTGCCTTCCATTGAGCCCACAGCTGTGACAACGCCTACAAGTGGGTTCCAGCAGCCACACCTCATTGGTCCTCCTTTAATGTACACGAAATCACGATTGAAAATGCTTCTCACCACAGTTTGGGTTAAGGCAAGACAGGAAAGGATGGATTGTTGTGTCTCAACTGCAAACACTGTTAAAACGTATTAATTGCTATCGCCAATCGCATGCTGTCCCGATGATCCGTGACGAGAGCAGAAAAGCACTCCTAATTGATGTGGTAAACAACGACAATGTGGGAAGTTGTACAGATTTCATAAATTCAACCATGTAAGGTGTTGATTACCCCTCTTCCTCTCCCCTTCCTCCTTCCTTCTCAAAATAAATGCGCACAGAATTGTATTTTGTTTGATTTCTGTGCAAACAAGGCTGCAGACCTCCGACCTAGAGAAATGCTCGTGATGAACATAGGGCGATGGTGGAGGCAGTGCGAAATGGAGAGATCATTTTAACTGCATCGAGATTTTGACAAAAAGACCGCTCTGACTCATGGCTTCATGTTAAAAACTGTTTTTAATTCTCCAGCATCAACTAGCGGATCCGCCTTGACTTCCATGATTGCTGCTGTTGTACTGATGAGTGTGGCAACAATCCTAGTTTGAACTCTTTCTATCCTTCCGCCTGCACCTAAACGGCCCGAATGCTTGCATCTGCTGAACCGCTCTCTATCCCCTTCCAGACCTCACTAATGAAAGAAAATCACAACATTCAAAACGTTCATTTACAATGAAAATGGTAGTATTTAAAGTTGTCGGATATGGCAAAGGATAAATAGAGAGCTTTTACTTGTCCGCACTGTTCTATTTCCATTCAGACGAGGTGGGCTGAATTGTAAGGTTTCGCAGCGATGAGGAAGGTGATGCGAATATCCAGAACTTCAAGTAGCTGTGCCACTCAAACGGTCCCCACTTTACTGCAAAAAGGTACCAAACTCCTTCTTGCAATGTTAAATGTCTATCGAAATGCAACATCCTGAACAAGTGGACGTACATCTGCATAAATTTGCTTTAGTGCAGAAACACGAATCCCTCCTACTGTATCAACGCAAAGGCAATTAATGCAGTGTGATGCTTTCCTGAACGGTCACTCATCAAAGTCGCCCATCAAAGATTGTCAGGTATAGTTTATACTTGGTACAGTGCACATCACAAAGCCTTCAATATTGTGTCATCCTCGAGGACGTGCAGGAGTGCTTGACTGTCAATGCGACAGAACGTGAGCTGAATGCCAGAAATCAGTTAGGCGGCAGCATTTGCCCAGTTGCCTTTCCACTCCGTCAAACATAGCTCCACCTACCCACTTTTCAATGCGAACTTGTTTACGCTCATCAGGGCCGACACTCAGCACTTGAGAGGAGGGGACATAAAAGCGTCTGCAAAAGAAGAGAGCACGACACGTAGCAAGCAGTCACATACCAAACACTGCAAAAGTAGCAAGCATTAGTAGTAGTAGTAGCTACACGTCCTAGTTACTTAATCATTTTTATTAAAAATTTGTTCATTTACATGTGCTTTTATGCTAACTGCAGGTGGCTACCGATAATACTTCACTTTACCCAGCAAGAAGCATGAGGGCGCATTTCTCACCGACTTAGTGGGAAGTAGGTGAGCAGATAGGTGAGAACTATGGCATTGAGCTGTTGAGGAGATTCCCAACGCAGTGCAGTCGTTAACCTCTCAGCAATGATGGAATAGGGCTTTGTGATTTGGAAATTGAGATTTCGCAGAATGCAACCACAAACATCACAACGGATTGTCCCAGCCATCTGGTCAGGAGGACGATGAGAGAAGAGATCTGTTGCATCTGCAACAACCTCTCACTTCTCGAGTTCCCATCTCACCGCCTCCCTCCAGCATATGACCAACAGCTAGCAGGTGGACAGTCAAACAAAGCTCTCTCGAACCACCTTACACTCAGAATAATGGGACCGTGTCAGTCATCAACCTCCCCGACTCGCCAATTTCTCACATTCTGAAGCCTGTTGAGACGACTCTAAAAGCACTTGGTACCAAGACCACCGTTTGGACGAACATACTAGAGCTACCACACACATTCTTTCCAATCCACCTTTAGTAAAAAACACGATATCACTGACACTTTGACGGTCACCTTGTCTCCATTGTCGCACGATGAAATGCGAGACAAGCTGACCCTCAAACGCTTTCACCAACGCCACGTACAACATGCATCCCACCCCCGCATGCCACCTTCTTTCGCCTTCAACCCAGTCTCATCACAACTCCAACCATTTTATTGCTCTCCTCCTTCTACTTCTTTTCTGCATGCACTGCCTATTCCATCCCATTCACACAGATACGCTACAGGAGCATTAATAGGACAACCTCCCTCTCCCTGTGTTACAATTCTACTTGACAATAGCACAAAAAACAAGTAAGTCACAGGACTGCAAAGGAAAGAATGTTTGCCTCAATAAACAAGGGATCGCGCGCAAAGCTGCTTCCATTTCCCCACAAATCAAACACATCCATGGAGTAGCATGAACAAAAGATTTTGGTGGAATGAAATGCAATGCACCTACCCTTCACTCTGCATATGCAGGCAAGTTTGAATCAACGCATAGACATGAATGCATAAAGTACAAATTAATGTCAAAGAAATTGGTGAGGAAATCCATATCCAGAGTCCTTGACACAGTGAAATTCTTTCCACTCACAGCCCTGCAAGATGCAAACCATTGGTGTCAGGCGCACCCGAACTGCCCTTCCGAAATGCCTGAAGAATTCATAATAACAGTAAGTCAACGCAAGCTTCCTTTTGACAAACTTACACCCAATTTTTTTGTTAGACGCTTAAAAACCCTCCCACAATGCAAACGACCTCAGCACATGAACTACCAGACTCAAACATAGCATTAAATCGTCCACGGCCTGTAGAGGGAATGTGTGGTGCTCAACCCGCCCGGTGTCACCATCAAGTGTAAGTGACAGGAGGGAGAGGCAATACGCTTTACAACACGACCCGACAAAAAATTTGTGTCAATACAAGTCCTCATTTAAGAGCCGAGCCACAAGCCGCAGCAAGGAAACTAGACTTACCATAAGACAACCTACTTTCGCAAAAACTATTCACTGCATGTGAATAAAAGCGATCGCAACATTTTACAGATTTGGAGACGCTTTTAAAGAAAACCTTGCACCTCATTGTTCCCCTTTACAACATTTTACAAAGATAATTAACATGAAGTCGGACGCAACGGGAACAGAATGCGATGACAGCAATGTTTCCTTATAACACACTCTTTCAAGTCACCGAAAAAGTGTCCAACAGTGTTGCAGCGAAGGGAGATTGCGCAGTACAAAGCAAAATTGACCACCTCTATCAAGTCCCCGATTCACAGCTCAGCTAATTTGCGAGGCCCTTAACTATATCACTAACAATCGTATAAGACATAAGAAACTAACATACAAAAGGAAAAACTTAATTACAACAATGACCCATTTCTAATATAACCAGAATGAAAATGTCGAACGAAAAGGAAAACAATGAACAAAATGAACCCACGGAGGGAAGCCGCATAAACCGACTGCTCAGTTATTAACAATGTAAGAAAGTAATCCCATGCAAGCCTCCAAAGCGCAAGGAAAAGCACCGCAACTGTGCTAGCAAGCCAGAGCCAAAAGGTAAGAACTATTTTGATGTTCACATCAGCACGACAGGTAGACATTTACAATATGACAAGCATCCCCGGGTTTGTCCTGCAGGTGTGGGAGCGCCTGATCTACACGCCACCGCAACGGGTCAGTTCATTCAGCTCCCACCTTAGCCTACAGCCAGGAAAGCATCGATTGAGTCGTGAATGGAGAACTTGCAACATGTTTGAAGAAAAACAGGCTTTGCTGGAATACTGTCTGAGAAAGGCCATCTCCGAACAACCAATGCCGCATCGGTCCTCTCCTTCCTCAGAATCCTATCGATGATGCAACTACATCGAGAATCGCCTCACCATTATCTACTTCTAGCAGCTGAAAATAGCAAGCTCCGACGTGGCTAAACACAAGTTCATCAGTGTTTTCAAATTACTCCACATTATGGAACTAATTAAGAGCGCTTCGACAACTCGTAACCAACATTTTTTCTTCTCCCCATACTTCGATTGACAGGGGAGCAAAAAGTACCGTCATACCTCCTCCCATTCAGATACAGTTATAACCGTTATCTGTGAATCCGTGCCATACAGAAAACATTAAGAAAACCATAAGGATGAAGTAGCAGGACAAGGATCCTCACTAAATTGAAAAATCTGGTAAAATGAACGCAAAACAAAAGAAACGGGACCGAAGGCGAGCTCCCGTCTCTTTCCAGGATCTGTGAGCGCTGAGTGCAACGTCGTGACAGATAAAGAGGGAGGAGATGATGTAGAGAAGATACCTAGTGATCTCGCATAAACAATCGTAAGAGTGGCACCGCAGCGTTATGATTTAACGAAGTAGCGTCGTCTGCTATCTTTGGCATGTCGCCTTACGCGATCCGGAGAAGAACCGAGATTAATGCTAAAAGATGAACAATAAGTTGAATGTGGAAGACATAAAAGTAAAAGCTTCGAATCACGAAACAGAAAAGCGATAGCAAACTCTAAACCAGTAATTTTGTCCAGAACTTGACCAACACCTGTAAGTACTACAACGTAATCGAAATCTGCGTGCAAACAGTTAAACGCGGCAAATGGGTTGCCTCAACATTTCCACCTCGCCTGCACCATGTATATAATGTGAACTGTGGTTTGTAATCACATCACTTCTCGTCGCTGAAGGCGAACAACAGGAACACTCCACATCGACTAACCCACCACCAAAATACCTTTTACACTGAAGTCAAGGATTGAGATCTGTCCCTTACTGCAAAATCCATGACATATAAGAAGAACACTCCTAACATAAATACTCACTGTTTTTCTGTGCACACACTGTAAACCATCTGATCATCAACATACCGGAGTAATATCCCAGACCAAATTGCATGAGAACACATAATTTGCACAACATGACCAGGTAAGCAATTTGCATGGCAAGCCACGGAAAGAAGACAAGTAGGCCGGACAAAACCGACTTATTAATTCCAATTTAAAAAAATCCCATCACATCCCACGTGCATTATTATTCAGCCACGACAAAGAAGCCCATCAGAGCAGATAACTACATTCATCTACCAAATACGATGTCACACCTGTTTCGTTGCTTCAATCACAACTCATATGCTCATAGCAGTTACATCAGCACCATCATGAGGTACTAAAACAGTTCGAAAGCCGTTAAAGTGGTGCGTAACAATTAACAAGACAGAATAAGGAAACTCTAGAACGATGTAATAAACGCAGTAGATAGACATAACAACGCCATAGACGAAGAAAATTTTATAAGCCACTAGACACGACTCCGCGTAAATAATGCAACACAGGATGTATGCGTTAAGCGACGGAAATAAATCACAATAAAACTCACGAACCACAGAAACAGCACAAAAAGAGACCAGCAACTACAACACAATCGACCCAACAATTCTAGATGTGCCGCTAGCCGACCGTAAAGACCACTCGATATGCTAAAAGCAATAATTTGCTACAGATGTAGCTCATACATATATTTTTTTAGTGAGAACTGTGTAACGCTTACTTCAAAAGAGCATAAAACATTAAGTGCCCTAAAATTATGGAACAGACCTCTTATTTGGGGCATCTAAAAGAAAAAAATTAGGGTTGAGGCTTGAGTCAATCCTTCTCATTAATACTTTTTGAAGCATTTTTTCACTAAAATTGTCTATCATAAAAAATTATTGACTTAGCAACGCATACATGTTATCGACATGGAATATTCCACGACAAACAGCGTCAAAGTAAATCGATGAACTTAATTGTTACTATTCTACGCAAGCAGTCCTACAACTTTTAAGGAACATGAAAAAATTTAGTCATTTCGTGGCTTAGGAAATTTTAACAGTTGCTGTAATGCTTTGTTCATGTGACAATCGCACGCTTGGCAATCACTTTAGAATTTTTCTGGTCCCTGTACACCTGGACTGACCTTCAGTTCACGCTCGGGCTCCATTTGCTCTGTGGTCTTTGGAATACGTGTATTCAACCTCACATATGCCTTCTTTTACCCTATGAGAAGCCTCGGAACTCCACATTTGTAGTGTTTCGCCTACGTGGTTGCCTGATGTTCGGCGGTTACTGTAGGGTTCGTCTGACACTCGAGCTAGGTCCAGGCTTAGTCCTTTATTTTCCCCACAAGTGCATGCATTCGGCTTGAATTGGTACCTGCTTCTATCTGTTAGGAAGTTTGGAGCGCTGCATAAGTGACAATTAAATCTATTGCATATTAACTACCTTTCATCCAAACAGGGACTTTTCTCGGTTACTGTTTGAGCCGTCCTAATATTTTGGCTTGGTCATGCCAACCAGATTCCTTTTTTAGGTTTATAATTTTACGCTCTGCGTTTTAGACTTTTTAAGAGTGATCCAACCTTTTGTGAGGGTTGGCCGTCGTATAACGCTTCTTAAGCATTTGCTCTCATATTGCATACATTTTGATTTTTATTAGTGAAACATGTCAACAAACGTTGTGACTTTTATTGGGGCCCTTATTTGCATGAAAGGAACTATTTTACCCAACTTACATAAAGGTTTGACCAGGTTAATGCTTGTAAAGGGCATATAATATATCCATACTATTCAAGTTTTAAAATTTCCATTTCGTCAGTTCAATTTTTCGGGAAACTTATAACAGAGCACTAGTGCTGTAGGGACTGCCTGCCTACCCTCCTGCCCTTGAACCTCGGACTTCAAGAGAGGCTTGGTTGCATATATCATCTGGAGACAGAGTCTTCACCATCCTCGCACTCGTGATTCGCGTTCCCAATTGGTTCTCGCCTCTCTCCTATAAAAGTCAACTCAAACAAACCAGTATATATTACAAATGCATCGTCTGCAATGGAGATGCAAAAAAAATTAATAGCCTTTAGTTGACATTCGTGGAATTTGGCCGTCATCTGCGAATGGTGTTAATCTCACACTGTGGATGAGTTTGGTTTCGCGCTATTTTAATGCGAAGCCGAGAGGCGACTTATTAGTAATAACGGTTTTAGCTCTTGCGCTTATTCGGTGCCGCATTGTGGAGCATGCACATGCCAATTCCTACAACGTAATATTTACTGTGCTAAATGGGACAAAATTTTGTCGATTCGGCAGTCGCCAGAAGACAAGAAGCAAGAATGTTGACTTAGCATAGCTAAGGAAAGTGATTGCAGCGTGGATGAGGGCAGTAAGTGAGGCTGCATATATGCATTCGAACAGAACAGAGCAAATGGGTGTGAGCATGATCGAAGGCCAGCCCATGAATGCAAGCGCCGACAAAAGTCAGGCAACCAAATAAACAAAGCATTACAGTGATCATCTGTAGAAACTGAAACGCTTTAAACTTGTACCAAAAAACAGAGGTGACAGTGCGACAAATAAGAATAGTTGTACCATCGAGTGAGCTACTTTCAAACAGCAGACAAATTCCAGATTAACTTCCGGCGGTCACTTTAAGATTTGTCTGGACCCTGTACCCGTGGGGTGACCTTCATGTCGTGCTCAGGCCTAGTCGCCTTGTTCTCCCTGGAATACATGTATCCAGCTTCATTTGCTGCCTTCTTCCATCCGGTGGAAAGTCCCGGACCGCTACATTAAAGACCTTAGGTGGCACTTTATATACCAAAATTGGCGACTAAATCAAGCCGAACCTTGCCGATTCTGTTTAAAATGCCTGTCAATTAACATTTGCCTTGAAATCTCCACCTTTAGACAAACAAAATTGCAGTTATGACCGTACCATTTCCAATGACTTATTTTATGGATTATTCTCATTACATATTCTTAGGAAAGCAAAAAAATACATTTTATCCAGGATAGTTCGATGCTACGGGCGAAATCTCAACTCAATCACTAGCTTCGCCGTGATTGGAAAATAAATGGCCTTGAATGAACCAATCACAGGCAAGGCTCGCCGTCACTTCGTTCTGGTAAGCTGTGGTGATGCCGAGTTTCATATTTTCGTATTTTTCTCCAATCACCAAAATTGGCCAAGGTTTGACAAAAGTATTTTATTTCTCATTGTTCTAGGTCCACATGGTACTGTTCACAAGTGTCTTGATCGGAGATCAGGTCACATTAAGGCCGTGAAGCGAATAAAGTTTAATCGGTCAGACCAAAATATCATATCTACTGCACTTAGGGAAATTGCACCTATACGAAAATTTAAACACCCAAATGTTGTGGGGTAAGTCATAACTATGGCTAGCGTGGCCAGTGCAGAGCAGGTCATCCTGGACTGTGGTGATTTGTACCTAATTTATGAGTGTATGTATATGGATCTCGGGCGTTATATGGAACTTGACTGTAATAAGGCTGGACTACCTCTAGTCACTGTCAAAGTACAGTAGTAATTCATGTTGCACATAATCAAATAGTCGTTCATGTACCAAATGCTGCGGGCTCTTCAGTATTGTCACCCAAGGCTCATTATCCATTGTAATTTGAAACCCCAAAACGTTCTTGTCGATGGCAATGGACGCGGCTGTAAGCTGGCCGACTTTGGAATGACATGGACATTTGGTAATCCACTTCGGGGTTTGACTCGTGAGGTAAAGTTTTTCGATTTAGAAGCCTTTGGAGGGGCTTACTTAACGGTACTTCTAATCATGCAGGTAGGCAATTTGTGGTACTGCTCGCCTGAAATTCTACTTGGCAGTGTCATCTGTGGTTGTGGAGTGGATATGTGGTCGTTGGGCTGTCTCCTTGCAGAAATGGTTACAGGAGAAGTATTATTTCGCGGTGATTGTCGCATTGACCAACTTTTCCACATATTCCGAATACTTGGCGTACCGAAGGAGGACACTTGGTCTGGTGTGTCGGTATTGCCTTACTATACACCCGAGTGCTTTCCATCTTGGTACAGAAATAAGCTGTTATTTCAGGAAAAGATAATTTGTTCACTCGATGCAGATGGTATTGATCTGCTAAGGGTAAGTGAGCACTACTTTTGCCTGCTCTTTGCTCCCTCTTGTCGTTGATGCCGATTAGGTGATTTACGATGAGTTTGAGGTGGTTATTTTTCTTCCACAACGTCGTGTCTGCTCTTCGCATTATTTTATTAAACAATAAGGGCCAATGTATGAGTAACTACCACTTTGTACAAATATAGGCGCTTCTTCTCTACGACCCCTTGTTTCGCATAACTTCGGAAAGAGCAATTATGCATTCCTTCTTTGACGACATGGGTAAAAACAGGACACGTGCAAGCAATGCGAGGTCTTTTGACCCGTCAGCTGAGGAAACTCCACCCGTTTTATCCGAGGTGGTCAAAGTCCTGCTGAATGTTGGCAGAAAAGAGTTGGATGTGAAAGGGGGAGATGAAAATCCGAAAGATGGAAGTGAAAGGACTTCAGGTAAAATGGAGACTTGGGTGTTTTACTTTTGGTAAACAATTTGTATGGCAATTATGCATTATCTCTTTCTTTATTGAAAGTAGCCGAGGGTGATACCACCTGTGATACCACTGGGTGTGCAAGTGGACCAGGTCTCAGCGACTCAGGACACGTTGGCAAAGAGCGCGGAAGAGATGGGAACGGAACTCAGACAGCGAAACCGCTTTGAACTCTCTCTTGCATGCTAATACCCTAATGTCTGGGCCTTTATTACTTCCCTCCACCGCACCCTCCCAGTTGATCTTTGTTGATATTGCGATTGCTACTGGCATGCTTGCTATTCATTGCAAAGGGTTAAACAAACTATGTTCGGGAATTCGATGCTCGTGAGACGTGGTTGATATCATGCGTTTGATTTCACTGAACGGCTAGGAAGGTTGGCGAGGGTAAATTTGGGTTCGGCGTTTAGTGGTTTGTGGTGCAGCCTTGACAACACGGCGTCGAGGTGAGGTACATCCAGATCTGTGTGACCTATCCTAAAATGGGAATGAAGCTTTTAACTTGGTAGATGGATGGGTCAGCAAATTTGGGTAAGAATCTCACCCGCAGGAGGGAGCATTTGAACCTCGAGACATGAGGAGGTGTTAAGGTGACTCAATGGCTTATGTCGGTCGCTGATAGAAAATGGCGGGGCCCGTCTAAGGTCACGCTTCAGTACAAATTAGTGTATGTAGTGAGTCATCTAGTCGGGTCTCCTGTCCGTAGTTTAACTGTAACATGTCACATTTGTAAGGGAAATGTTTTGCCAACCAGAGTCCTTGTCAAAATATGGGCCATGGTGAGAGGGTTGCAACTTTAACAGAGGTGACAAGATTTGACACACCTAGTCTCGTCTTCAAGGGTTAAATAGCGGAAAATTCTAGCCTCAAACCCAGATCAAGGAAAATGATTCACATCAATGATCATAGAAAATGCAACACCGATTAGCCCCGTAGAGCATGCAACGAAGAGGTGTAGGAATGCTGGTTACTGCAAATGGAAAGACCTTGTTGCCTTTAAAGTGACAATCAAAGCGATTTGATGAGTGGCGATGCTTAGGGAGTAGTTCACGCCTGATGAAAGCTGTTCCGACCATGCAATATGGGCACCAACACACCTCACTTTGAGCAGCAGTATGGAAATATGTGTGTAAAATTTGAAAGAGGATGTTCCAAACCCTGACACCTTCGCATGGCGGAACCAGCGCCGAGTCAGTGATACCAAGCCGACATGGACTATATTTTCCCCTTCCCTCCTCCTTCAGCTCCACCAGCACAGGTCCTCACTTTCCTGAGTCTCGTTTGTACCTTTAAAATGGGTAGTGAGAAGTAGCAAAAATGGAGTTCACTTTAAAGGGCTAAGAAGTTCTACGCAATAAAACGTTGTCCGCCTTTTAACAACTTCAAAGGCGACGACTTTCTGCCTTACTATCCGATGGCAACCTGCAGCGTCACCACAAAACACCCAGCAGATCGTCCATCCAACCACAAATCTTTTCAGCGCATCGACTGCCACTCTATTAAGTCGGCGTCCCTATTTAGTCTCGCACTTGAAGTGCCTTCATCAGTCATGCCATTAAATACACACTTCTGCGGATGTGCAACTGTTCCATCGATGAGTGTTAAATCAAGATGAAGACTGTCGCAATTTTAGAATGGAAATGCAAACTGCCAGCAGCGCTAATCAACTATTTATCCTCCTGTTATCCAGAAACGAATCGCGTATGTACCAACTTTGGCTTTCACTTCTGCTTCACCAATTCAGTGACAATTTAGCTGTTAACTGCGAGTCTATGTGATGGCAAGAGGTGAACCCATTCATTTGTTTGCAGCTGAACGATTTGGATTTACCTGTGTAGTTGTGAAGTGGTGAAGTGAAATTATGCAAAAGTTTTTGGGTTGTACGTGGTTTGTGAAAGATTGCAGTTGGATGGTGGCATCATTACGACTCCATAGAAAACAGTCTATCGATGTTGACGAACTCTAGTACGATTTCGGAAGAACTGGTTACCACTAGGTTATTCGTCAGCTTACACTGCGCCTTATTTACTGACATAGTAGCGAATCTGTGGCGTCTTAAAGCTTACCGCCCGCTATAAGAAGGCATTAAGCGGAGCTGAAATGCATTTATCTCAGGGAGATCAAAGGGATTCGGCCTGAGCTTGAATCGATGGCTCGCCCAAGCATATAAAGGTTAGACGAGTCTTAAAGTAACCATCATGCATCATGTGGTTACATGACCATAGTGTTACACCACCGTTCTAGTGGTTTACTAAATAAACCATCCGGTCCTGTTGTTTGAGCGTGTGGCCCATGGTCACAAGCAAGAACTGCCAATGCAGGAAGTTAACGACAGCTCATGACAGCCCATTGGGGAGAGTGTGAAACACCTCTATGCTTTAACGCAATAGCTGTGACCAGAGCTGCGATCTATTGTAGGTACCAGTAAACAAGGGGCAGGAGCAGTATCAACTAAAATTCTCAGAGATGCTAAAACTTTGAAGCACAGTAGCTTGCAAACATCTTTTAAGCGATTTATGTGAGTGGACTAGCACCTTTCAAAAGTCAGGTTGAAATAGCTACACTGCTGAGTCACTAAGGCGCGACTATTGACAAGTCTTGCGCGCCTTATTGTTGCTAAGTTGTAGGAAAATTTTCCACTTCTATTATTGTCCACAACTGCTGCTTAACATGCACCACCTCTACCGCAACAAAGTCGATCACTCAGATGGAAAACAGAACCTTTAATATTATTCTGTAAGACCAACACTGTTCACACATTCAAAACTTATTATTTTTTTCTACTCTCCGTTCGGCGGCTCTGAGTGCAAATCTGTTTGCGTGACTTCCTCTCAGCAACAGGGAGAGCATCGCTCAGAGATCGATGCCCACTCAACCAGGGCAGAAAGGCGACTTGTTGAGATTGTGTCGTCACAACTGTCTTCTGCCAACGTGGCAACACATCATGCATCTACTCTGTCCTATCTGCTTCCAAAGTTTCGAACACCATCGTACACTTGAGGGTCATTTCAAAGTGGTGCATGAAGGCACGTTTTTCGCATCTATCCCAAATCACATATTTTGTTGATTAAAATCTCAAAACATTAAGAAAAAACTTTAAATGCACTTCTCTAAGTGACTGCATCTTTTCCTTCTGGGTAGAAGTGGACCGATATTTTTGCGGATTTTGTGAATGCAGCTACCGATTCTTCTGTTGCTATGAAAAGCACATCAAATTCCATATTAATGGGATGTTACCTCGGGAACAGCCTTTAAATATCGCTTAAAAGAGCTCTTAAGTACTTTTGTTGGCCTCATGCACATGAAGAAATAAAATGTCAATTTTTCCTTCTAGGCATAACGGAATTGCGGCGACCTTTGAGTAACATTAAAAACCGCCTACGTCGAAGCAGAGAATCACAGCAAAGGAGTTCGGTTGTTCCAGCTAACTCTGCGATTGAAGCTAAAAGGAGGGGAGTCAGAATGCGCCTCGTGGTAGACTTTTTGCGCTACTATGGCAAAACCCAATTTTCAACCGCCTCAAAGAGGCCAAATTTTGGTACGTCCACTGTGGGTCCACTCCTTCGTTACACCACCTTGCTCTTTGCAAGCAATAACTGCATGCGCTCCTCGTCCCTTTTCAGCTAGAGAATATGTTACTTTTTTGTGAATATTATGGCAGATTAGACTGCAAAGGGAAGTTCAGGCTAACAAGGTGGGCACGTTGACCCGACTACGTATTGGTGTCCGATGTGTCACCACAAGACAGAAAACGATGTGGTGCAATGTCCTCGGCAAGTGGTGAAGTCATTTTAGCCACGAAAGGTGGCACAGCCATCCGTAGTGCTGTCCACTGCACACCAATCGACACGCACAGGGTCAAGACGTAGAAGCGGTGGATGAAAAAGGACAATATTGCACTCAGCAGTGTGGAGCACTGTTGTAAATATGAGTTTTTTAAGGATATTTTAACCTCTTATTTAATCCTTATTTGTCAAAGTATGATTTCCTCATAAATTCGTTCATCCTTGAATGAGTTACAGAATATGGTACAATGGCGTCTGTTAACGCTTTTAAAAGGCATCGAACACTTATTTTGGCGAGGTAAAATCGTGGTTGAGGACGGCGCAAAGATTTGTCTGCTTCTGACTAAAAGCCACACCGCCTCATGCTCCCCTTCCTTCCATTCAGCAAATCTACTACTGCTAAAGCGCTGATGAAGTACTTCCCAAGGCGGATAAGATCCTGTTAGGCAGAGATCGCTTCCTTTCATAATTGTAGCCTTCATAAACCTGACACATATTAACGGATGGGTGGCAATATGAGGTGAATTGTTACTGATACAAGCCAAAATCATGGCCATTCAAAGTGCAGTGACTCCGAGCGTTGCTTGTGTACTAGTTGTCGGCAGACTTTTAAGATCCAACTTCGGCGGGTTTTATCGGTCAGCGTTAGCCTTCGAGAGCACGACAAGCATGACAAGATCCATCACTGAAGGGCTGAGGTACGGTCATTCAAATGTTATTTGACAAACTTTGTTGGGATTTGTTAACGCTTGATGAGGCTGCCTATCTGTTCGTAACTTCCGCCTCTCCGTCAAGTCGACGGAATTACTATTCTTTTTATTTTCGTACTTAACCTATGCTGCTAAACGGGGCTGGAAAGGAGGACGCAGAGGCAATTGCTGTCTCTTTGTCAATTTGCTTATTTAGTGCTTGCTGGGTGAGCCTGTACTAGTACAAAGCTTTGTTGGTGCGTGGCTACATACACATGATTGTGAACAGAAAGTAGTTAATTGTCTACAGAATAAGCTTCCACAGCCGTTTGAATTTAGCGAATGACCCACTCGACTTGTACATTCCTACTTCAGCTTGCAAAGAAAATAGTACCAATCCTCAGTCTGCCTTGGCACTTCAATTTGCAGATTGACTCGCAGTAAACATAAGTCCTGCTATTTTGTCTCCTCCTGCCTCAATACATCAATTGCGGTTAACGTGCATGTGGATCGGATTGGACGGCAGGTTGTGCTGCGAAAGCATCATTTACTGCTTGTAGATCATCCCGATGTGCGAAGTACATAAACCAGGCATCGCCGAAAGGAGAGCATAAAAATGGGGTTGGAGATTCCTCAATCGGTTGTACTGACCTCAGTCATTGACATACTTTCTGGATGATTAAAACACACTGTTTA